GATCGACGGGCGCCGACGAGCTGGCAGGCCTGCCGACCACGGGTGCTCGAGCATCACTCTGCGCCAACGCACAAGCAGATCGTGGATGTCGTCGCGCCAGGTTCCGACGGCTAGATCCTGTGGAGGCGTGGCGACCGAGAAGATCGAATCTACTGCTAGGTCGATAACGTCATCCTTGGTTCTCACGTGCCAGTAGAGAGTCGTGGCCCCAACGTCAAGTCGGTCAGCCAGCCTTCGCATGGTGAGGCGGTCAACCCCCTCCGCATCGAGTAGGTCCACTGCTGCCGCAACGATCCGATCTCGCGATAACGGAGGCTCGCGCCGCACACTGTGTGGTCGCAGCCAGACACTGCGAGCCTCCTCGGACCCGGTCCTCGATCGCTGAGATTGCACGGAGTCGACCACACCACCTTCGCTCTCGGGCGCTCTGACCCTTGTATGGGCCGTCGCCGCATGGTACACAGGCCGAGCGCTAGAACGTTGTTCGAGTCCTCGAACGGTGGGTGACAGCATGGGCTTGAGTGATGCGGAGGGCAGGCGGTCCGTCCGATGGTGGGCGCTCGCTGTCGTGAGCTTGGTTCAGCTCATGATCGTCCTGGATGCGACGATCGTGAACATCGCACTCCCAGCCGCGCAACGTGAGCTGGGTATGAGCGACGCGAGCCGACAATGGGTGATCACTGCCTATGCGCTGGTTTTCGGTGGTCTACTGCTGCTAGGCGGAAGAGTTAGCAGTCGGATCGGGCATCGACGCGCCATCACGTTTAGTCTATGCGGTTTCGCTGCTGCATCAGCAATTGGCGGTCTTGCTGCCTCGCCGCTGATGCTCTTTGTGGCACGTGGCATACAGGGTGTTTTTGCCGCGGTTCTTGCGCCGGCTGTGTTGGCGCTGCTCAGTGTTATGTTCACTGACTCACGCCATCGTGGAACTGCATTCGGCGTGTTCGCGGCAGTTTCTGCTGCCGGATCGGCGGTTGGACTGCTTGCAGGTGGCGTATTCACAGAGTATCTCGATTGGCGATGGTGCCTGTATGTGAACATCCCTCTCTCACTTGTCGCCCTATTTGGTACACCACTGCTGTCGCCAGCACAGGACGGCGAACGGCACAGGATAGATCTCCTCGGCGCACTGCTCAGCGCGGTTGCACTCGCCGCGGTCGTGTGGGGCTTC